GCACGCGCTAACACGCCCGGCTGATTTTTTGATTTAATGTAGAGATGAGGTCTTGCTGCCCAGGCGGGTCTCGAACCCGCGGGCTCAGGCAATCCACTCACCTCAGCCTCCCAAGGTGCGGGATTACAGGCTGAGCCACCGGGCCTGGCTCATTTTATTTTTTAAAAAACAAAAAGTTTGTTATAGTTGTAAATCAGTTTAATTGTCTGGTGATATGAATATTTTTCTGGACTTCCAGTTTTTTTTTGTACCACATTTTAAAGTCTTGAAAGCTGCCACTGTACAACAATTGCAAAAAGTGTAATATACACATAATGGGAATATCAGAAGAAAAAAGAAACAGAAGAAATATATGAAGCAATAACGATTGAGAATTTTCAAAACACAATTCCTGATAGACACTAAAAATATAGATCCAGAAAGTTTAGGAAACACAAGTCAAGAAAAATACCAAGAAGTCTACATCTGGGCATATGTCATGGTCAACTTACAGAAAAACAAAGAAAAGAGAAAATCTTGAAAGAGGTCAAAAGGAATAAAAACACCACACTTAATAGAAGAGCAAAAACAAGAATTACATCAGACTTTTCAGCATACTTGTTTCATGTGCAAGCAAGAAGACAGTGAAGTGGAATATTTATAGTATTAAAAAAAAACTAACCTAGAATTCTGTATTCAGTGAAATTATCCTTCAAAGGTGAAGGAGAAATAAAGACCTTTTTTTTAATTTTTAAATAAAGAAAACAGAAATTTGTTCCCAGTAGGCTTGACTTGCAAAAATGTTACAAGAATTCCTTTGGAATAAAAGATAATTATATAGGTCAGAAACTCATGTCTACATAAAGGGACAAAAAAAGAGTATTAGAGAAGGAATAATAAAGGTGCAGTATTACTCTGACCATAGGAAAAGGAACAAATTAGAAGGGTAAGGAGTAAAGCAGATAGGTAAACTCTGTAGTTGTGAGAATGAGGATGGCTTGGAGGACCCAAGATGAGATAGTAAAAATAGAAAGAAGTAGACACATTTGAAACATCCTTAGAAGAAATAAACCTACCACTTGCTTATTGTTGGAAAGTGGAACATAAAAGAACAAATGACTCAAGATGGATACATGATTTCTGGAGTGAAAAACCAGGGAGATAAATTTCAACTTACTAATACGGAAAAATATGAATAAGGGACCCAAAATAACCTGAAATTTACTCTAAAAAATTGTATATTTATTCTTACATGTTTAAACTTTAGTCACCTTCAAAGTGCTCTCCATTTGATGTAATATACCTATTGAGACACTTTTTTAATTACTCAAAATGATTTTTGAACTCATCCATTTTGATGCCTTTTAGTGCTTCTGCCATTTTTTGTTTCACATCTTCCATATTGGCAAAACATTTCCCTTTGAGGAATTTTTTCATCCAGGGAAACAAAACAAAAAAGTTGGTCAAGGTGAGATTGGTGAATAGGGAGGACAGGGTATGGGGGTCATGCTGGTTTTGGTCAAAAAATGCAGAACACTCGGTACAGTGTGGAGAGGTGCATTGTCATGGTGGAAGGACATATTTGCCACATCTCAGGATGCTTCTTCTGCAAATCATGATGCAACTTCTCAGAACTTCAGATGAAAACTTTGGCCATTTGATCTGGAAGAACAAATTCTAAATATACTACAAGGGACCCACCCTCCAAAAGATAATTCAATTCTTTGGGTGTGTCCTCCCTTGTATATGAAATTTTCGAAGAAAAAAAGTAAAAATTCAAATCCGGTTATTAAATTCAGTGGTTTATAAAAAATGATAAGAAAATCAAAAAAGCTGTATCAAATAAGCAACTTTTATTTTTAAAACTTATCACAGCATCTTAGCCTGGCTCGGTGACTCAGCCTGTAATCCTGCACCTTTGGGAGGCTGAGGTGAGTGGATTGCCTGAGCCCGCGGGTTCGAGACCCACCTGGGCAGGCGAGACCTCATCTCTACAGTAAATCAAAAAATCAGCCGGGCGTGGTAGCGCATGCCTATAATTCTGGCTACTTGGAAGGCTGAGGCGGAAGGATCGCCGGAGCCCAGCAGTCAAGGCTGCGGTGGCCGGGAGCAGCCACTGCACTCCAGTCTGGGCGACAGAGTGAGACTCCAACTCAAAAAAAAAACAAAAACAAAAACAAAAACAAAAACTTATCACAGTGTCTTAAAAATGCTTATTTTATTTGTCCAGCATTCAAAAACATGTATTGATTGTCTGCTTTGTTCAAGGAATTGGCAACTAGTGATGTTGATATAAATAAGACATACCTCTAGCCTTAAGAAGGTTAAATTCATAGGTTAAAGGTATATTAAGCAAACAGGCTCAATATCACATGTTTGCATTGATGAATTTGTGAATAAAGTTCTATAGAGAAAAGAGAAAAAAAATGAAGGAAAGAGAAACTAAGATATGGAAGTACTCACTTTTCTGATATAGCTCCTGGATAGAATTATTTGCTTACAATAAATATTGAAATTTTTAAATGTTTCAAATGTGATGATGTACTGAATCATGCTATTAAATTCTTGAATGAGTATTGTTTGGTCTGGGCCAGTTTGATATATATAGGACAAGAACAGCAACAACAAAAAATTCCAAATCAGGTTAGATGCAGTGGCTCACACCTGTTAATCTTAGTACATTGGAAAGCCAAGTAGGAAGATGGTTTTAGTTCAGGAGTTCAAGACCAACCTGGGCAACAAAATGATACTCCATCTCTACAAAAACTACAAAAGAAATTAGCTGGGCACGGTGGTGCATGCCTCTAGTCCCAGTTGTTCAGGAGGCTGAGGCAGGAGAATTGCCTGAGCTCAGGAGTTCGAGGCTGCGGTGAGTGGCAAACATACCACTGTACTCCGGCAGTCCACCAAAAAAGAAAGAGAAAGAAAGAAAGAAAGGAGGAAGGAAGGAAGGAAGGAAGGAAGGAAGGAAGGAAGGAAGGAAGGAAGGAAGGAAGGAAGGAAGGAGAATC